AAAGTTGAAAACGATAAGGTATCACTCGAAAGTTAACACCTATGAATGCGAATTAATACATGCAAAGACTCATTGACGATAATGAGAATTACTATGAAGTGTGTGAAGAAATGTTTTGACATAAAGATCAATAAATGACGAGCGCTGTACAACTGATCGACAATATTTCCTCCTAAATGATGACAAATCCTATATCCTGAAAATCTTGGACCACTAAAAGACCTTTGACGTATTTGCGAATCATTGTTGAACTATGTAAACGAGATAACGATGACTCAAGTAACTTGAAAAAGTTACGCTATGACGTATGAATTAAACAACCTCCAAATCTTCCACTACATCTACCGCGAACTTGAAATTACAAATGCTACTGAAGAATCTTCAATCAGAGGAAGAATATTGTTAATCAATGTGGTACAACGAGGAATTGAGACTGAACGAAGTTTTGTGCAAGTATGGCAAGTATATAACCCTATACACCACGAAGGAACTTTAGTTGTTTGATACTGAAGGATCACTGAATGTCTTGCTTAATCAAAGATTATTAATCTCTTGAAGAAAGAACGAGTTTCGTAACATCGACAGTTTGAGAATAACTATCCATGTGGATAAATGACGTGATTATGATTTAACTGAATGAACATGACGCGATTATGATTAAGTGCGATCACAACAAAATGTTGAACGTTGAGCCTTAGAAGAATTTCGAGGACGAAATTCTTTTAAGGGGGGAAGAAATGTAATGCCCCAAAACATACCCTAGAATTATTAATAAATAAATAATAAATTAATCAAATTCGTTTTAATTAAAATAAATTGTTGCCGGGCTTTGGACCGAAATAAAATATATATTTATATCCAATAAACATAATTGGGATAAATCTCATAAAGATAAATCCAACATGTTGACTTATTATGTGGTCTTGATTGGGAACCTGAGTACAGACCCAAATTAAGAATAAATGAAGAAATTGTTTATAATGTGAACTTTAAAATGATTTATTGAAATAAATCATGGAAATAAATAATATGAATTAAATGTGAGAACCTTTTTGAATAAAAGTCAATTAAACCAATTTTGACTCTGTCAAAATCAACCACCCAAAAATATGATGTCAGAAAAAGTATAACGAATAAATGTAAAAAGTATATCATTGGGATAGAGTTTAATTGTACGATCGCAACGGTGCAAACGGATTTCAATTCGGAGAAAGTTGGACCAAAAAGTGTACCTCGACTGGGACCGAATTAGTCCCAATCAGAGAAGTAACGTGCAGAATCTCCTAGAAATCACATCTCCGCCGAATGAGAACGTGAATTGGGAATCCTACGCAGCAGCAGCTCATCTTCCCTGTCTTCTTCTCTTCTTCCCTTCTATATAAAGAACCCAATTCTCCATTTCTTCACCATTCTCTCGATTTCTTCTTCCATTTTGTTCCTGAGAGTGTGGAGAGTAGAGTGGTGCTGTCCAGAGAGTTGGAGGTCGCCGGAGCTAGCCACAAATCTCGCCGGAAGTTTCGCCGGAATATCGTCAAAACCTCCATTACGCTTCGAGGTAAGCCCGTAGATATATCTAGTGTCTAGAATGTTTGTATAGATCGTTTCTACGTTCATAAACGGTCATTTGGTTGAGTTTTGTGTTTGACATGCTTGAAGAACCAAGAATCATAAACCATTAAATTAATGTTAAAACTATGAATTAGTGATGCCAAAATGATCTATGAACCTTGGAGAACATCTCTATATAGTTTCGTTGAAGTTCGGTAACTAAAAACGGTATTTTCGAAATTGGACCCGAACGAAGAAGAAGATGAACAGTAACCAAAAACCAGGCTGTCTGGATCGATCCAAATGGATGGATCGATCACCTGGGCATAATTTCTCTACATATGGATCGATCCAGAGGGCTGGATCGATCCCCCGAAAATCTGATCAGAAAATTTATCTGAAAATGCTATTTTTGAGCTCTAAAATCCTATTTTTGATACCAATTGATTATGATCATTATAAAAATGATTTATCACAATAAAAATGATGTTTTTGACAAATAAAATGTTATGTGATGCATGACGGTAAGTTCGGGTGTTAACACTCGAAGCTAGGCCGCTATTTGCTATCGAATGTTATGTTGATTAATGATTATGATGAATGATTATTATGATGATTATGGCTTGAGAAAACCACTTATTAAATGATTATCAAGGATTAAATTATGAATTGAAATGAATATGTTGATGATTATGAAATGATTTGGATTGTAAGGATATCTAGAAGAACTCTATGATATACCTAGGATGACTTTGGTTTCTAAGACTATCTAGAAGACCTCTAAGATAGCTTAGAAATAGGCCTTGCGGGTATAATCATGAGTATTCGGTGGCCTGGGTTAAAACGTACGTACGGGATCTACAAACCAAACTTGAGGCACTCGTTTGGGGATACCACCCAACCCAACAGTGAGCATTTCGGATCCGCTGTTCGGTTTTTGGATGACCTTAATCGAAGGTAAGTTTAAGATTTTGAAAACCTCTTTTGAAAATTTATATCTTAAACTAGGCCTAGCTTAAGGGTTAGATAAGAGTACCTTAAACTTGAATATATTTTAACTATCTTAAACTAGAATTCGTTTAAGAGTTGGAAAATATCAAATAGATTGGCCTTAGACTAAGAATAGTTTAAGGATATTGTTGAATGACGAATGATGAATATTATATGATGAATATACATATTGAATGATTGAATAATGAATTGATTATTGATGATTGAATATCTGAACTGGACATTATGTGCATGATATCAAATGATTTGATTATGAATTAAGTTTCTGTTTATATGGATGTTCGACGCATTAGATATGCTTACTCAGCTTTACCGCTGAGCGTGTAGTATGTTTTATTTGCTACACGCAGGTTAATAGAAAAAATGATGTGACGTGATTCTAGAGGCAGACGGAGGCGAGATTGTCGGAATGGATGTGATGGTTTTGAATTAAAGAACATAAATAAATTATGTTTGTAGTTATGATTTGTTAAGCTTCTGCAATATTAAAAACTCTGTACTGTTTATGATATGAAAATATTATTGTGATAAATAAAAGTGTTTGAAATGTTTTAAATTTTACGATTACCAAGTTAATACTTTAGTCCGAAAGGGGCTGCAGACCTGGACGAATTAGAGTGCACACGTACGTACGTACGTACGTACGTATGTATGTATGTATGTATGTAACGTATATATAAAATTTGTATAATTAGATTTATATTCTGAATATATTTGTCTAACTCACGAATCGAATACCCTTGATTCATATTCGTATTCGATAAGGATTCGAATATTTATTTAGATTCGTATTCGTATTCGGATTTGAAAAAATCGAATACGAATCGCCTTAAACGAATACGAATCACGAATCGAACAAAAAATATTCGATTCATTTACAACCCTACCTGCCACCCCTTTGCCGCGGCCACCGAGAGCAAAACACGAACAGAACCCATTTTTGCTACCGGGGCAAAGGTGTCGGTGTAATCCACTCCCAAAGTCTGATGGTTTCCAAGGACCACTAGTCGGGCCTTGTCGCGTTCTTTAGTTCCATCTGAATTAAACTTGGTCTTAAAAACCCATTGACAGCCCAAAGCTGTGCGATCTGGAGGCAAGTCTGAGATTTCCCAAGTGTTATTATTGACCAATGCCCGGAGCTCCGTGTCCATCGCCACACGCCAATTGGCATGTGGGACTGCCTCAGAATAATTTTTAGGAACAAAGTGAGGACTGATGGCGCCAAGGAATTCTCGATACCTGTCATGCAATTTATTATAACAAACAAAGTTGGCAATAGGATAACGTGTATCTGAAGACGATGACTGGGAAGGCGATGAGCACAATGGAGCGGGAGATTGAACAGAATTGACGATGTAGTCACTAAGATGAGATGGCTGACGACGCTGCCGTTGAGGACGAAGCGGAGGAGCGGCAGCTGTATGGGAGGGGCTGGTCTTCGGTGAGCTGCTCGGTGGCAGCTGTCGGCTCGGGAGGCAGGCCGTCAAGTACGGCAGTCGGGAGGGGGTCGGGCTGGGGTAATTCGGGAAAATCGGCGTGTGGGGTGGAGGTAGAGGGTTCGGCCGGCGTGTGATGGGTGGCAAACGGGAACGTGCTCTCGTCAAAATCGATTTCCCGAGTGTGAAAAAACGATGAGTATCAAGATCATACACACGCCAACCTTTTGTGCCAGAGGGGCACCCAACAAACATACACTTGGTGCTTCTAGGAGAAATTTTATTGGAAGTCTTGAGTCGTACAAAGCATAGACATCCAAAAATTCGGAGATGACTCAGATCGGGTGCTTTGTGATTCAGAACTTCAAACGGAGACTTGCCACCAAGCAGTTTGTTGGGAGTACGATTAATTAAATAAACAGCAGTACGAACACATTCCCCCCAGAATTCAATAGGTAAGTGAGCTTGAAACATAAGGGAGCGGGCAACATTTAATATGTGTCTATGTTTTCGTTCTACCCGACCATTTTGTTGAGGAGTACCCACACAAGAAGTTTGAACAAGAACACCCAAAGTGGCATAATATGACCTAAGGTCCTGATTGACAAATTCAATCCCATTATCAGAACGAACAATTTTTATGGTTTTGGGAAATTGGGTCTGTATCATAGAAAAAAATTGTTTCAAACAACTAGGGACTTCAGATTTATAAATGATCAAATAGGCCCAAACTGCACGAGAGTGGTCATCCACAATAGTGAGAAAATAATGTGCACCAGTAGCTAAACAAGGGGTGTAGGAGCCCCATAAATCACAATGAATTAGGTCAAAAACACTGGTAGCTTTATTGGAACTAACAGAAAAAGAACTACGAACTTGTTTGGATTGAAAACAAATTTCACAAGTTTGTAATAATTTAAGTTTAGAGCTACTGGCAGAAGGAATAAGAGACGACAAAACTTGAACAGATGGATGTCCCAAGCGTTTATGGAGGAGAGAAAGATCCACTTGGGTAGCAAGTGCTGCAGAGCATGGATGAAACAGGAAAACTCAATTGTGTGCATCACCCCGTCCAATCTCCATCTTCGTGACACAGTCCTGTATGACACAACAGTTTTTGTTAAAAATAACAAGACAAGAGGTATCTCGAATAAGGCAACCAACAGAAATAAGATTGCACTGCAGATGAGGAACAAGCAAAACACCCCGAAGCACCACTTCGGGCGAGAGCTGCACATGGCCACAACGTGTGGCTGTAGTCTGTGCCATTAGGCAACGTGATGACACAGGGGGCCATGGGAACCACATCGGATAAAAAGGAGATATTACCAGTCATGTGATGAGAGGCGCCACTGTCAATAAGCCACTCACGAGATGCTGCATCACAATTAGGCCCGGTATCCTTGTCGGAAGACGAAACGTCGAGCATGGAAAGTAACCGGGTCATCTGATCGGGTGTGAGGCCCAAGGCGTTGGAGTTGGTGGCTGCATTTGCTCCCCCTGTCGCCGATCCTACCCCTCGGCCAGACCCACGGCCAGGGGTGCCACTGCCGCCGGACGGCGCTCGGCCACCGCCGCAACCCCCACGGCCGGATGCAGTGCCGCAACCCCCACGTCCCTTCCCGGGCGGGTATCCATGCAACTGATAACACCGATCCACTGAATGTCCATCTTTTCCACAATGCGTGCATGAATAATGGGGGGGGGGTCTCCACGACCCATGGTAGGAGCGGGACGTTGCATGGCGAAGGCAAGAGCATCCGTGCGGTCATCTCGGCCTCGGACAATACTCTTGTGGCGTTCCTCTTGAACAATAAGTGCATAGGCCCGGTGTATGTCCGGAACAGGTTCGGTGGCAATAATATGAGAGCAGATATGACCGAACTGTTCGTCATCGAGGCCGAGCAAAAAATGATGTGTTTTCTCCTGTTCTTCACGCGCCCGAATCAATGCTGCGGCCTCACATCGGCAGTCACAAGTGGGATCAACAGATCCATACAGCTTGTTCCACAAAGTCACAAATTGATTGTAATAAACAACCACAGTTTGTCCCTTTTGACGCAAAGATTGGAACTCGGATTCGTGGTCCATTCGAGCCTCCATATCTAGTCTTCAGATCTAACCATAATTCATGAGCAATTTTATGGGAAATAATGGACGGTTGGATGTGTTCATCAACACTGTTACAGATCCAAGAGCAAATAATGGAATTATTAGCTTTCCATGCCGCCAATTCCTGTTCATCGGTGGGTTTAGGAAACCCGATGGGGCTGAGAAAACCTGCTCGGCTACGTCCTTCGAGAGCATTGACAACAGTTTTCTCCCAAATATCATAATTATCACCTTTAAGAAGATGTTTCGTCAAGGAATTACCCGCGCTTTCAGACGGGTGGATGTAGTATGGAGAGGTCGGGTCATGGATGAGCCTAACCTTCTTTGATCCGTCGGTAGTCATGAGGACGAAAAAATCACCGACGTGAGGCGGTGGTTATGCAAGCGACGTGGCAGCCGACGTGAGCCGGCGCTGGAGGACGATCGATCGACGTGAGCCGATCGAGGAGGAAAGACCGTCGTGAGCCGGCCGGCGATGCTACAATGGCGGCACCGTGCAGGAAAAAAAACGAGCCTAGGGTTTGAGAAGTTCCCGGGAAATTGGCTCTGATACCATGTAGAATTTTGTGAAAGACTTGATTGGTTTCCATTGAATATTCACAACGTATATATACAAGCAAGTTTCCTAATACAAATATGGTAAGGATTACTTACAAGGAAATAAATACATACAAGGAAATAAATAAATAAACAAATATATGCTAACAAATATAAACTACATTCTGATTTGTTTCATTGGGTATAAAATCAGAGATCTAATGGCCTGAAGTTATCTATAATTATTTTTTTTAAAGTTTGTGTTTCCTTTGCCTATTGAATATCTCATTATGTGTATTATATGGAAGTTCTGGTATTATATTTTAGAGTTCTGGTATGGTCTGTACAACACTTCACAAACTTTTTTACCCATACTTTAATGGCCAGAGTGCTTGTTTCCCAATACATGGTCTGTACAACACTTCACAAACTTTTTTACCCATACTTTCTGGTTGGATTATGATTGCTTGTGGCCATTTTGTCTACCCCTCTTGTCATCTAAACCAGTAAATATGATGTGTTCTGGTTTTGGTAATTTAAATAAACCAAATCAAGATTGGCATTTTAGCCGGGTTTGTATTGTCATCTTGAATGTCCAGTGGAGATTTTTTATGCCTATCTTTCTTTGTGTTTGTCTCTCTAGTAACAAGTTACATAAACTAAATTTAACTATGATTATTGTTGTTTTGAAGGCGAATTCAAAAATTGCACCTTACAGGAAAAGAATTGTGATAGACAATTGGGATGATATTTGTATTCTTTTCTCTCAAGATCGTGCAGATGGGCAAGGTTCAAGAACAATTCAAGAAAACATTGATGAGATTGAGGTTGATTTTGCTACTATCCCAGATTCACTTGACAAGTGTGATGAAGTTGATGCTATAAGTGATTTGTTGGCTCGAAAAAAAAGAAAGGAGACAACGTCTTCCTCATGTTCTCTAGGACCTAAGAAGAAAACTTCATCAACGACAATCATATCTGATTGTATGCAGCGAATGGCGACTGATTTCAGTGACTATTTGGCAGTGGAAAGGAAAAAGTCCGAGCTTCTTTTGGCTGAAAAGGAGTTAATGTTGGCAAAGAAGAAAAAAACTAATCCCCAAGAAATTTTGGCTGAGTTGAAGGCTATTGAACTTGATGACATGCAGATGATCAAGGCTGTGGATTTGATGATGCATGATCACATATTATTCAATACATTTGTGGGAATGCCAACAGAGTTGAAATAATATACAAGTGGTTGAAAGTGCAACTTGATAAATGAAGTTGACACTTATTTTTATCATACAATTCCTAGATTATCATTCAATTTGAACTTTGTTTGAATTTAATTTGTTGTTTGAACTTGAACTTTGTTTGAACTTAAGTTAATACTTCTTCTGTCAACTTTGTTTGAATTTAAGTTTGGTATATTTAATCTATTTGAATTTATAATTGTTCAATTTTTTATGGTCATAAATGTCTAAAGATGGTTCTTTTAAAAAAAAATGATGGTAGCCGTAATGTATATTAATGTCATTTTTTGAGTTATCAAATAAAGTGGTTGGGATCATAAAACAATTTCATATCAATTGTATATATAATTTTATGTTACCAAACAAAGGATTTGGAATTACAATACAATTCTATATCAATTCTTTAATTACACCAAACAAAGGATTTGGAATTGAATGAGAATTCAATTCCATCCAATTCCAATTCGATTCCAATTCTGCGTACCAAACGGACCCTAAGGCACTGTTTGGTACAAGGAATTCAAATTATGAAATTGGAATTGAGGACTTCAATTCCAATTCTGGTGTTTGGTAGCACAAATATAATGTGGATTTGAAATTAATAGTGCGAAAAATGAATTGAAATTGGTGAATTCAATTCTATAGAATTGAATCACATGGAATCCTAATTCCAATTCAATTTCAATTCCACCAATTCTGTATACCAAACGGGCCCTAAGCTCATTCCCCATAAGTCGTCCATCTTTACTCGAAAAATGCAGAGTTTTAGTGTAAAACTCATGTCCTACCTATAGCGCAAATTAAATAAAGACATGAAAAAACAGTTAGGTAAGAATAATAAATAAATTCAATACAACTCCTTTTTTCATTAATTTAAAGTTTCATGACAAAAACATAGCATGTATTATTAGGACTGTTCATGTTTAGGTCCAGACCGAAAAAACCGACCGAACCGGACCGATAGGTCCAGACCAAACCCGGACCGAATTGATTTCGGGTCGGTCTTCGGTCCATACTTTTTAAAATTTCAGGTTTCGGTCTGGTCCGGTCCAGACCCGAAATAATATAGGTCCAGACCGAGAGGACCGATTGAAACTCTTAATACTCTGTACTCCGTAGTCTTGTATTAATGTGAGGGGACCGATTGAAACTCTTAATACTCTGTACATGAATTTTTATGAAATGTGATTAGTTCCATTTTTTCCCCCACACACTTGGATCCGACTCGTGTGAGCCGGATACGACTCTGTGAGTCTGTGACTCGCCTGGCTACTCTCTTCCCCTTCAAATCTCCCGGCAACAAATTGCCCGATCGATCGTTGCCGGCAGGTGGAATATCACCGGAGCGGAAACCATGCTGAAATTCTTGAAAGGCGTCGTCGGCGGATCTGGGACGGGCCTCAAGGATCTGCCTTATAACATCGGCGAGCCTTATTCATCTGCGAGAGGACCGATTGGTTTTGTTTTTGGGATTTGAATTTCAGATTTGTTTTGGAATTGAATTCAGCTCCTTTCTTCAATTTGGGATTCATTTTTGTTTTACGAATGGATAAGGATGCTGGGTTTCTTGCAAAAAGTTTATTGTGGGATTTGTTATTTTCGGTCTATTCGGTCCATTTAGGTTCGGTCCAATACATATCGGTCCGGTTCGGTCTAAAACCGATTCCTAATCAGTCCGGTCTTCGGTCCAAATTTTCTTACAAATCGATCTTCGGTCCGGTCCGGTTCGGTCCGGTCTGGTCCGGTTCTGGACCGATGAACACCCCTATGTATTATATCATATTGCTTACAAAGTATATTCAAAAATCCCAAAATATATATAATGAATCAAAAAACAATATTTCAAAATGTGTAGTGTAGAAAAACTAAATCATTTTTCTCAAATAATGTCAAATTTTCTAGTAAAATATTTCTTACTTTAAGCAGACCCATCATGAACATGAACTGGCCTGACAATTAGCCTTTCTTTTATGTACGGAGTATTATTTTTGGGTTTAACAGCTAGTGTCAAGTTATATAGGAATATATGTCCTACAAAATGTTGCACTACATCATACAAGATAAGAGTTGAACATTTACATAAAAACCTAGAAGCCAAATGCATAAACACTAATAGGTAGAGAAAACTTACTTGAACTCTTGCATGCTATAGAGTAGAGTTGTGCTCCAACTCTCCAAATCACAATGAATCGATTACAATGATTATATGACCCATAACCACCACCAATGTGAATCACCATGCCAGGGGTGTTTAAAACCCCAAAATGTCTCTTAGTATAAAACCATAATAATCTCATAATACTTCGTATAAGGCCAAGAATTACATACATTTTTTAAATTACTTTCTTCATCGTTATTAAGCACAACTCAAAGCAGCCTACATGTCGGCTAGAACATCTGCAAAGAAACTTCGAAATGCAAAAGGCCAAGGAAAATTCTCTAAATGGTGGAAACATACCTGATAATAGTGAGGATCAGAAAAGAGGCATGATTTTGATAACCCGTCAAAGCAAGTTGTTGATATCATCCGCGTCTCCTTTGAGGAAGTCCGGCTCTTAAACAAAGCAAATTGTATATATCCTCCGCATCTCCTTTGCAAAGAAACTTCAAAAAGCTAGTCGTTAAGGATATCCTCAACCTTAGTTGGGTAAAAGTCATTTCTCTTATATTAGAACAGAAAACTAACCAAGGTCCTTATATATTTCTTCACACTTTTCTAAAGACATGAGCTTGATTGCAAGAGCAACTGCAAGCATGTCACCAGTTGATGTGCCACATATAAGGTCAAACAGCTCATGTATTCATTTCCACGTGGCTCTCTAAATTTCTTTAAGAATTCTTACAGTTGCCAGTTTTTTCATGTTGCCGTTATCCATTGAAAGGAAGCACGAACCCTGCTTGGGCACCTTTCTTACTCGAATAGCACGCCGTAGAACCTCATTTTCACCGAATGAAGAGAGAAGTAAACTCCACAAGATTCAAAGCAGTGAAAATCTGCAATAATACGAAGTATAAATCACTTAACTCGTCAAAACATGTAGTTTTTTTATTTTTTTTGCTTTTTCTATTTCTTTTTGGAGTGTTTAAATAGTACTCAAGGTTCTTGACCAAAACAAATTACGAATAGATAATCTTCACTAACTCCAGACCAGTACAATTCATAAAGGAAAAGGTGAACAAACTAAATTTTGCATAGGAAGAACTAATAGGCTTCAAAAAAAATTAGATTGAAATGGATGCCAATATGCAACAGATTAGTGAACAAATCATTCAAACATATATGAATAAACGACATGAACAGCAGACACCATTTCCCCTTCATGCCATTCAATAAATTGAATTTAAATGCAATTACTTGATATTGGATAATCAAATATATGAAAAATGGAAATTAATTTAATTTGAAAATCATAATTTAATAAAAAAGAAATTTAGAACTACAAATTAATACCCAGGATGTACCCAAAATAAGGAAGAATTGCTGAAGATGATAGTATAGATAACTTCAAAACACTGTCAGAGTAAATGAAAATACTTGTAAGTTGTTCTTCATTGGCTCTTCGATGTAATAAAAATAAATGCTCCTTCTTCTCCTGGAAAGTCTATATGCAGCCAGTTAAAAAAATAAAGATTTGTTATGATTTTCATACATTTGGATTATAGATGACATAACAATGATGATACTAACACTTGTGTCCAACAAATGAAAACAAAACACATCCTTTAGTGAAGATCTCCAAGTTTGTCATTACACATTTTGTCCAACATATTTGGCACAAGCATTTCATATCAACTTTTTGTTGTTTTTTTCATATCTGTTTCTTTCTTAAGTCTGTAGTTCTCACTGTGACCCTGCGTAATAGTTTATTTTAGAGGAATAACTATGTCAGAATGATTGAAAACAAAAGAAGACCTACATAATTGAATTTGTGAAACATCACCTGACAATGTATAACACTTTTGTTTTTGTAGTTATTTAGTTTTGTTAAAATGTTACGGATAGTTGCTACATTAGACATCTAAAATAAATATGAAAAAATGAAACAATAGTGAATGCCTCCACTTGATTATAATGGAAGTGTATTCAATTCATTTTTTTATGTATATTCTCACTTCTTTAAAATTTGAAAGTTAAATACTTCATTCCTATATTTACTCAAAGCTTGGTAGGTGGATTAAAGATAGAAGCAAAATTACTTAGATATACAACAACACCAAGAATCTCAAAAGGCAAATATAAAAAAATATGATGCAAGACACACATCCTAAACAATATAACAATGAATCAATTAATATGGAATACCTATATACATCTTTTTGGTACGGGCAAACTTCAAGCAGAGGTTATAAACTCAATAACTATCGGCTACTCGTTGGACTCTTAAATTTATAACAATCATAGCACAACACCAAATTGTATTTCTAGGGATTTAGTATTGAGACAAATTGTCGAACACTTTGAGGGCATACCTTCTTGTCAATGAAGTCAGAAATATCTGAACCCATATTTGCAGTCCCCCTTCAGTCTTAGGCCGGTGATTCTTCGGCCATTTTATTGAACAAATACTTTTGTAAGAATCGAATCTTACCAGTGGGAAATTAATTTAGAAATATAGAAAGGAATGGTTTAGAGTTCTATGAAATGTAACTTTTCTATTTTTCTTTGAATGCTCAGGAGCTTTGGTGGGTGGTTTGGTTTGTCATCCAAGCAAAAAATAACAAAAAATGCACCACAGGTAGAAAATAGCAATAGTTCTATGAATTTCTGTCACAACATTAATAGCTTCCAAAAGCATTAGGGTTTGAAATCGAGGCTATGAAACACGAAGTCTAGAAAAACGCACCTAAGGCAATACATTTCCCAAGCGAATCTAGTCTAGAATGAGTAAATTCTATAATTGGTCCACAGGAGGCTTTCCCTATTTAGTCTTCTATTATCAAATATTACCCAAGTGGTCTATCTTCTATCATGTTGGTGTTAATTTGAGAGCTAAAAGTGTAATTTCACAATGATAATTTATCTTTTTTCTCATACACAATTCTAAAGGTTGTTTGCGTCGTTTGTGATTACAGTCGCTTTTTACGACAACTATAGTCTACAAATGTGATCTTTCGTTAGAATCCTAGCCCACAATCATAGTCACTATTTTTGTATTATCTGCTAAACCAATATCAGAACACGTCACTAGACATAATGTTGAAGTCAAATTATACTTTTAGCCTTTAAATTAACACTAACACGGCAGAAGATCAAAAAAAAGGACCATTTGTGGAAAGGTACCCTTAAAAAAAGGACTACGGGAGTAATATTTGATAATAGAGGATTAAATATGGAAACCCCCTTTTTATAAAGGACTAATTATGGAATTTACTCTTTCATAAATAGTACATATGTACACACCTCAATTTATAAATATTTTCATTTCTATTTAATTCACATGGACATACAAATTAAAACATAAAAGAGAGAGTGTTCGATAGTACTATGTTCAATAGATAATATGAGAGTGAAGGATAATTAGATAAGATGAGAACGAAAGACAGTAAATTATGTACATTAAGACAAATTAAACATTTTCAAATACCTCCTTATCAACTACATTTGTTGTAGTGTTAGCTGGAGTATTTTCAAAATTATACTACCTCCGTCCCAGAGTGTTTGTCCACTTTCATTTTTACACACCATTCAATACACTTCTTTAATTCATTTTATCTTGTAATTTGTATATTAAAAAATTATAGAAATTATATATTAATAATCTATATGTTAAAAAAATCAAACAAGATCACACATGACTATATTTAGGCTTATACATTAAGAGAGTTTGATGAGTCAAAGTGCTTAGATGAACAATTCCAAAAGTCAAAACTGGATGAATACTCCGAGACGGAGGGAGTATATCATTATTTTTAAATGAGTAAATTTCATAATTGGTCCTTTATAACATGGGGGTTTTCATATTTAGTCCTTTATTATCAAATATTACCCCCGTAGTCCTTTTTTTAAGGGTACCTTTCTACAAATGGTCCTTTTTTTGATCTTCTGCCATATTGGTGTTAATTTAAAGGCTAAAAGTATAATTTGACATCAACATTATTTCTAGCGACGTGTTCTGATATTGGTTAAGCAGATAACACAAAAATAATTACTATGATTGTGGGCTAGGATTCTGACGAAAGACTACATTTGTAGACTATCATTGTCGTAAAAAGCGACTGTAATTCATAAATGATGCAAACGGAACAGCCTTTGAAATTGTGTATGACAAAAAAGATATATTATCATTGTGAAATTACACTTTTAGCCCTCAAATTAACACCAACATGATAGAAGATCAATAAAAAGGACTATTTGTGGAAAGGTACCCATAAAAAAAGACTACGGAGGTAATATTTGATAATAAAGGACTAAATATGGAAACCCTCATGCTATAAAGGACCAATTATGGAATTTGCTCTTTTTAAATAGAGCAAGAGCGTACTCTAGAAATCACCACATACAGCTATTTGTGACTGAAAACTGATTCTTTTAAGAACAGGCCAACATGAGAAAGATTGTCCCTCAATTTCGTTTATGATAATCACATATGATAACGTAACTGGAAATTGTCTTCTTTGAAACTTAAATGACAGTCTCATGTTTGAAGGAGTTAATGAAACTCGCGGGATCAAAAGAGCTTGTCCCGCTTTTTTTAGTGAATCCTTTTTGCTTCCAAGCGACGGTTACCAAGTCTTCTAACAATAAATTAACTGTATTCAACTACACATATCGTTAGCATGATTGTCATCTTCTTGTCACCTTTTATTTTATAGAATTTTTTTATATATTTTTAAATAGTGTAATTTATATATTTTTATTTATATACCAATTTATAATAAAAAATGATTTTATTTGTATTCATTGGAGAATCATTACTTTGGTTGCATTTTTTTATTTTAAAAAAGGCATCCAAAATGAGGTTGATCCATCATCCATTCAAATGTGTTTGATGCGTCTACATGATCCATTTCTATTTTAATGTTTTCTTTTTACCTATATGAATCATTATTTTTAATTATTTTAATAAATTTTATAATAAGTTATTGATTTCTATACAATTGTGAGATTTAGAACAATCTATAGACTTTTTGGAATCTAAAAAAATCGAATTCATAAACTACATCAATATGAATTTAACTACAAATTAAATAGAATTAAAATAATTCATTGATTTTATGTCATTCACGAATTATGATATATCTCACGTAATCTTTAAAAATTTGTTTTGAATACTTATTGTCTACACATATTTCAAATCTTCAATGAACATCGAATCTCAATAAAAAACCCCAAGTTGTCACTGTCGACACAGGAATGATTTAATACTCTAATAAACTTCAAGTCTTCAATGACTCTTGCTCTTTAAAGTATAACATTGAATGATATTTCTTTGGTGCTAAAATGAAATTCCTATTCAATATTCACACGGTTAAATTTTATCTATTTTTCTCTATTTTTGTAAAAAAATAAATAAAATCGTTATGTCACCTTTTTATAGAATTATGTCGTAAGTCTTAAATATATAAAGTTTTACTCCGAGTATCTTGTATCGATATCAATTTCCCAAACAAATGGAATTAAAATTAACTTTAATAAATTTGTATCAATATTCAATAATGAGATAAATCAATATAATATACCTTGTCAAGATCTAAATCTAATTTTATACTTTGAGATTACATTGTCAACTAACATAATAAAGAGAAATTTTTGTAATCATATACAGATCAGGAAAAAGTTATCAATTGAAATGAAACTCACAATGCTACATCAATACTGGTTACACTCATAATCTAACTCATTTCACACTTGTATGTCATGTCTCACTTCTACTGCAATGAGTGCATTTTAAATTTTATATAATATTTACATATTTCTACTCAGATTAAATTCTATCTTTTACAATAAAAACAAAAACTTACTTGGTATTTTTTTTATTTTTTCTATCTCATATTCTTTCAATATTTTATTTTAAATAGTCTTTAATATTTCCATTTTTATATAGAATTTATTCAAATTTTTTGTCCTATTTTATTTGTTTGATTTTTTTATACAATAAAGAAAATAAGAAAAAATAAATAAGATTAATAAGTGTAAAAATAATAGAAAATAATTCATTGCACAATTCTAGTACCAATTGCGAAAAAGTCATAAAAATGTATTACAAATAACACTAATTTTGTTATGAGTTTTACACATACGCTTTACTTTTATACCATAACAAAAAACATAAATTAGTTTAATTTAAAAGGAAAAATGTAATGATCTAATTTAATATTAAAATATGTTTCATTTAAGAAATATAATGATAAAACATTGCTCCTTCAATTTAGAAGTGTTTGAAAGAAAAATAAAAGGCAAGATATAATGCTATATTTATATACTCCCTTCATCCCAAAATGTTTGCCACATTTGCTTTTTCAAAAGTAATGGGAACTTTTGTTTATTTGCACGTTTTCATTGATTACTTGATAAAATAAAATATTCTTGACACTTTTTATTTCGAAAAATTTTTCATGTAGTTTTTAAATATGTAAATCTTATTTTTTATTTCTATACCAATATTTAAATAAAAAAAATTAAAAAAATTTGATATCTTGCCTCAATTTTTGAAATGTGGTAAACATTTAGAGACATGATATAATATTGATGGCATTGGATAAAGGTCGTGAAGATATTGACTTATATTGACTTACATACAAACAATTATGAATAAAAAAGGATTTAGGTCCAAACCCAAAAATGATTTAGGTCCAGACCGATTGGACCGAATGAACCTAATAACCCTATTGGATCTAAAAGACCTAAATACATAAACTCTACTTTTTAAGTTCTGCAATACACTTTGATGCTTTACTTGAATAGATATTTTAATTTATTTAATTAAAAAAGTTGTTGTTAAGATTATTTTTTTTTGAAAAAAAGTTCAAAAAAAAGTTTCACCGTAGTTTTTATTATTCCACATAAAAGTAGTCCATGTTGTGTATCTATTTTTAGATTGTCTATTTTTTTTCTCTATTTGTACGCTACAAAATACGTAGTAAAAAGCTTAAAATATTTTTTTGAAAGACAAACCATCAAAATCTAAAATATATTTCATCTCTAAACTGCTTTGTTGCATCTTTAGTTTATGCATCAAACAACATCACTTTGGCCTATCTTTCGCTGTTTACTGCCACAATGAAATTGACATTCCTTTTCGATGAAGACAAATGAAATTGTGTAAAGTGCGTGTTCCAATAACAATTTAAATTTGGTGCTGTTTCATTTGAACCATCCTATGGTGCAAAAGTAATTTTTTTGTAAATGAAAAATAACAATATATTTTATCTTAAAGATATTCATTAAGATAACGTGATGGCAACAACAGCAGAAACAACAACAACAACAACAACAACAATAAAAATAAAAATAATAATAAAAATAATAATAATAATAATAATAATAATAATAATAATAATAATAATAATAATATAACAATAAGAATTAGAATGAGAATAATATAAAAATACAAAAAATAAATTTAAAGCTTTTTTTAGATTTTCTAATTTTTTTTCTAGTTTGTTCAATTTCTTTTAATTTTTTTCATTTTCTTCCAGTTCCTTCCATTTTCTTCCAATTTCTTTCAGTTCTTTCTGGTTTCTTCTAGTTTTTTCCAGTTTCTTCCAACAACCAGCTCTTTTTTTTCAAGTTCAAAAGAACATGCTCTAAGTGTTTGTAAAACACATTTCTATCCTCTTAAAAATAACATGAATATTTTGGAAAATATTTTTTGTAAAGTATAAAAGAGTATACATAATGTAAATAATACAAACCAAATTACATACTCTAAAAACTTTATATAGAATTTATGTGTACTTTTTTGAAGTGATTCTCTATTGTACTCCGTAGTATAGTTTGTGGATTATGGAATCCATGTAAAAGTGTAAAACACAGTGAGTCGCAATGTAAAGATTTATTTGCCGAGATCAAAACCAATTTAGAGATATCATCAAAGCTAACACGAACAATGTGACTTATAAAGAAAGAACACCGTTTTAAAAAATTACGACGAAACACAGCGTACGAAACAAAACTTTATTCTTGAATAAGAAGCCATGACTCCTTTTTCAAATATAAATAGTGTCAAAGGAATAAAAACATCAATACCATGCCATTGTCAAAATGTGAAATTAACTTATAAGCCTCTTATTATTGAAATGTTAGTATAGGTTGACATTGTGAACACTATATTTTACTTACTCTTCAATTTTTATATTGCATACTTTCCTCTCAGTTAAACAAAATTAACCTGAATTATGAACACTGCAAAAAAAATCATCCCAACACAAACACAGCACCATATGTTCATCGGGCAGTAACATTCCTCTCGTGTGGAGCATTGCCAGTTTAATGGAGTATAAGAAAACTCGGGGAGTTCCCCTGACATTGCAACCCATGTCATGAGATAACCCAGGAGCATCCTCTTCGTAAAATTGATGGTTCTTACTCCCCTTAATCCCCCCTCTCCCTCCGGTAGACCTTCACCCTGCCCCGCCCCGAACACACCCCCACTCCTTCAATTACACTCTCAAGTTAATTTTGAGTTTGGAACCAATTTTAACCAATAACAACCCAATAGTATCCCACAAAAGCAGGGTGTAGCGAGGGTGTGTATGCAAACTTTACCCCCACTAAAAGTAGAGATGCAGTTTACCAAACAACATGAAATGTGAAGAGAAAATAATTTTCTTTGAAAAATATTTTCCAGTAAAAATATTTTTCCTCCAACCAAACACACAATTAATCTAAATTTTCTGCTCCCTAAGTCCATCGTTCACTTTAGTCTCTGCATAGAGGTTAAGAATGGAAAATCGTGTAGTTAAGATGTATATGGAGAGGAACAATATAAATCAAAAGATACTTTTACAATGGAAATAAGTAGTAAAAAATAGAGCAAAACGAAAAACACGTCATATAAATGGAGACATAGGTATCAGTCCGATTACTGGTTTAATTATGAGTAAAAAGAGTATTGAGAAATACGGCAAGAACATAGATGAATATGTAAATGAGAACATTATTGACATTTCCGGGATCAAACCAAAAGGAAGCAGCAGGTTCAGATCAAGAAATGATATCGGAATTGAACATAATGAACTTGGAAGAAAATGTAGAGAGCAATTTAGTTTAGTTAATTAATACTAATAATAGGGATGATAGATAAAGAAAAGTCCATACACTCAATACAAGAATGAATGATCAGAGGCCCTCCCATCCATCCATATTGTCGTTGTCCAATCATATCAATCACAAGCCTCCTCCCAATCATCCAACACATCTGCCGCATCCGCATCAGTGTTGCTTCCTTCAAAATTATTTTGTTGATGTCCATTGGTTGCGGTCTCAGTTTCAGACACCTGATGAGGTGCGGACTTGTTGTTGTGGTTAATCAAAGAGCATTTTACCATGACTTTTGACAGAGCCGACGAAGTTGAGGTAGCGGTTTCAGATAGAGCACTCCACCTGTTGCTGCTTGATGGAGCAAATGGAGAGGATTCTTTCCCCTTCTTCCAGGCCGAGAGTTCCATGTTCGAACCATTCCAGGCCCCCTCCTCTTCAGAGCCCCTAACCTCAGGGACTACCACTATGCCCTTCTTCCATGCAAAATTGTTGTTATTGTAATTATTATCCTTCAGCAGCATTGAACCACCACCACCACCTCCTCCTCCAGCAGCATTCACACAAGACATTCCTCCCCAAGAATTAGAAACGCCACCACTCTGAGGAGGGGCTATAACAGCGGCCCCATGATAAGGAGACCCCTGATCTAATCTCCTCATAGCTGCTGCTGCTCGTGCCGGTTCGCTGAAGACTGCCAACGCATTTTTGTCATTCAGCCAGACAAGCTCACATTCCCCACCAAACCTCAGCACTAACGCAGTTATATCTGCATCTCGTGGCAGGTCCAGCAGTGCAACAACAAGCCTAGGATCCATGTCTACAAAAGGGTCACATATTGCAGGTTGTATGTTGACCGTGCATCCCTTAGCAGCTCCACCAAGAATGCGAGGAGGAGCTTTCGACTTTGGTGTCGCATGTATAACAACAAACCGCTTTGGCTCCCGTCCAGCAGAATTGATTGAGAGCTTCCACCGTTCAGCTATCATTCTAACAGCATCCCGCTTCTCTTTCATCATTGGGCAAAACACATGAACTTTGACTCCACCTCTACCCCTGCTGCCTCCGCCACCAAGGACCAGAAACTTGCATCTTTCTTCCACAGAGAGCACCCATTTAGAGTCGCGTTTAAGGAGGTCTAAGAGCACCTCAGAAGCAGCAGCAGGATTTTCACCCAAATGAAGTGTCGCATCAGAATGTGAGGTATTCACACCAAATGCTTCAGCTAGCACCTTCTTCTTTTCCATCTTTGCACACTCATCATCACACATTAGCTTCCTCTGACCAAGTGGAACCTTCTTTCCATTTGTCTCAACAGGTTGTAGGGGTGCCGGCAACTTTTGTAGTATCAATACATCAAAAACAGTGTCAGAAGCACTATTTCTGCCCCCCGCATCACATGGAACGCTTGCACTTAACCGGCGACAAGAACAATAAATCTTGATGGGAGATTCACATCTAGTGTCAGGACAAGGGGACGACGGGTGGCAAAGAGCAGTACAAGTGTGCCTACAATCTCTCCTAGGAGCACCACATGTTTGACCACATGAAGGTCTTGGACCACCACCAGCACTGGCCACCGCAGCAGCAGGAGAGTCGCAAGGTGCAGGATGACATGTTTTATCACATGCATGCAAGCCACACTGTCTGGTCTTCCCACAAGGCTTGATACATCTGATGTCCTTCGATCCACATGGTATATTCCATAGAACCACATGCCCACCAATGCATTCCTTTGCTATGGGAACAGCACATGGCGGACAGTCTCCAAAGTGGCAGCTGTGTGTGGATGAATGGCCACAGGGCTGAGGAATTGAGCATGGGTACTCGCATGATGGGGGAGGGGTGCCACATGGCGACGGAGGAGGTATTGACGTCCTCCCACACGCACAGGTCAAATCAGTGAAAATGGTCTCAAGACATGGAGGGCAATGGCCACTGTGGCAAAGCGACTCGCAAAAATGCTGCCCACATCTTAGTTTTTTGCCACAAGGTATCAAACACAAGTGTGGGTCCCTGTCACCAGTGTGGGAATTGTTAGGAGGATTTGACGAAAGAGGGCAACACCGCTCACTACATCGGTGCCTTCCACAACTCTTCTTCTGCCCACAAGGCCGATCACAAGTAAATTCATCGTCCTCCATGAACACTTTGTAGCACTCTACGGTACGAGATGTTGATCCACAACGGCAACGTTGAGTCACAGGCACAGGACATGGTGCACAGTTTCCAGAATGACACACCTTTTCACACTGGTGTACCCCACAATGGAGGGTTTTGTTACAAAATTGTGAACATGTTGGGATGGGATCTAAACAACTGTTTCTCATTTCTGTTAGGCTAGTTTTACCACAACAGCATGTCTTAACGTTGATGGGCAACAAAGCACAGTCCCCGCACGGGCCTGGGTGGCATATTTCATGACAGACATGGTTTCCACAGCTGAGTTTTTTCTGACAATGTGAGTTGCACGAAAAGACGCCACTTTCTAAATTGATTTCTCCCTTTAAAGTTATGTCACCACAATGAATAAGCTCTGTGTTCTTCTTGCAGAAACAAGACGCGTTAAGAAGAACTAGACAATGATCACACAAACCGACATGGCAAATTTTTTCACACCGGTGGCGACCACAACCAAGAAGCTTGTTACAATGCTGGCCGCAGGTAAGAACAGACTTCCTATCAGAGCATCTTGTAGTGATCATTTTCCTTCCACATGGACAGCTTCTTGGAGGAGCAAATGCCTTACAGGGTGGACATGGTCCAGGATGGCACTGCAGGACACAATGATGAGGGCAATGATCTTCCTGGCTCAAGCCAGAACCAGGAACTACCTTTTCCAACGGCATGCCACAAGCCTCCCCGCAAGAATGTGGAGTCAAATACATATCAGAAGGAGGGTCCTGCCTTTTCCCACAAAAACACATGTAGCGGATATCCTTGGAAGAAGTGAGTTGTACATGTTGACAACCTGGGCACCGCCAGTTAAGCCCCTGATTCTTCTCTGCTGTTAAGTCAGAAGATGTAGGAGCTCTGGCCCATTTCTTGGTACAACTCAGGTGAAAGATTGAGAAACAGCTAGAGCATGACCAGATTGCTGCAGATCTACGAACCATATCATAACAAATCATGCACTCAACTGTTCCTTTCAAGAGTTTCTCCTGAATTTCTTGTACAAGCTGAGGCAAAGTAGGGCCCTTCAAATGCTGTTCTGTTTCCATGTTATGATCTGGACCACCCATCTTCTCCACTTTGTTCCCTTCAAAATTGTCTGTTTGCCTTCCCATTTCCCTACCTCTCCTTTGGTTTGCATGTCTAAGCACATTCCCTTGATGAGCATCATAGTTCCTACCCCAATATACCTTGGGAACCGACCTATCACCAAATTCCCTGTGAATCCCATTTGAGCTCCCATTATCACCAACAGAAACAGCAGAGTTTTCCACAGTGGTGGTCAAAGCAGAAGGAATGGAAGTGGTAGGTGTGGATCCTCGAGGAACCCACTCCTGTCGAGCAGTTTGTCCTTGATAGTTTCTACCCCTGCGACTATTATCTGACCTGCTGTTACTTTGGGCTAAAAAACTCATATTCTCTGAAAAATCCAAACCCCCAATTTTATTCTCCAAAGCAATTCTGTCGCTGGACCAACCACAGGATCCAAAACCCTAGACTCGATCCTCTCAGCTGTAAACCGATCAGGGAAACGAAGGGATTTTAAAAATCAATTCAAAAACCAATTTTAGTCACTCGAGTAATTATATACAAACAGTAAAATCACACCCAAATCGAAAAATGGTTTTCTTCAAAAGAAAATACCAATGTCAAACCCTATTCCGATCACAACATAATATATCAAAGCATGCTAAGGAACCAAGTACATTTTTTTATAGAAGAAAACATCCACAATCATAATCGCTAATTTAAGAAAGGAATGAACACCTGATGTTGAATCAGAAGCACTGGGCACAAATATTTTCCTCTTCTGTTGACAAAAATGTCAATTTCAAATTGAGGTTTTCGATTCTATTTATTTTCTGCTTTCTCAAGATTTCTTCTTTCCAGAGAGGGGCGAGGAGAAGGGAAAATTCTTTAGGCGGAAAGGGATATGTAGGGCGTGAGAGAGATACGATCTTCTTTGACCATTTATGTAAAACCTAAAAACTAGTTAAGTCGGTGTTCATATTTTATGTGCTCCAGCAAGTCAGAAGCCGCAAGCCAATGTTGCTGCTGGTTTTAAAAACTAGTTAGGGCTATTTGACAGCTTCTGAATAGGTAAGTGCTGAACCAGTAAGAGGTTTGAACCATTAAGTGCTGAACCAGTAAGAGGTCTGAACCATTAAGAGCTAGTATATTGCTTAACTATTCAGAGGTAAATGTGTGATCAATTCAGATAAGAAGTCTTAACCATTCAAACTCTGTATAATACTTAACCATTCAGAGGCAAATGTCTTAATCATTCAGACACCTGAACCATTAAGAGACTGAAACAAACCGTCTGAACCATTAAGTGCATCTTATGCGTGGTGCCTCAAAAAACTTATGTGTGGCGCCCAAAGAAAATAAAATATGCGGGTCATTCAAAAAAAATACACGGTAAAATATGCGTGGCTCCCAAATCTTATGCGTGGCCGGTGGCCCCAAAAAGAACAGTTTGGTGGCACAACAATTTTGATACTCCCTCCCTCTTAAAATATTTTTATCACTTCTCTTTTTTCTCTGTTTTAAAATTATATTCTCAATTTTTAAAAAAGAGAGTGAATGGACTATGTTACCCCTCTTTCAACTTGTTGGCTTCAAAGAATTTATGGAAAAGGGTAGAAAAAGGTTAGGATTTATAAAAATGCCCTCGTAGATCTAACAAAGAACCGTGTGAAGCGTGTTGGTTCCAACCAAGCAACAAAATGTCACTGTTTGTGATTGTTACTTAAAATTTTTAATAGAAATATTAAAATTAATGATCCGTCGTTAAGTTGTCGTCGAAGCAAGATAATGATTTACAAAGGGGCAAAACATTGTCGTTTGAAGGCCTAGCCGATCCTAAACCCCCCGACCAATCTTCAGAAACAGTACGCCTTCTCCCCTCAAAACTATTCTGCTCTTCGTTCTCCTTTGTTGATTCTGTCGTTGTCAAACTTGGTATATTGCATCCTATCGTCGAATACCTTCAATTACTACCACACTCTTATTTACCATGGAGAACATCGGTGCAAATGACACAGTCTATAGCACCTCGACCCGCGTGATCCGAATACAAGGACTAGTGGATCGGGTTGTCACCAAAGTTCGCATCCAAACAAAATACTACCTCCGTTCTAGAGTATTTGTCCACTTTCATTTTTACACACCATCAATACACTTCTTTAATCCATTTTATCTTGTAATTTGTATATTAAAAAATTATATAAATTATATATTAATAATCTATATGTTAAGACAAATCAAACAAGATCACTCATGACTATATTTAGGCTTACACATTGAGAGAATTTGATGAGTCAAAGTGCTTAGATGAACAGTTCCAAAAGTCAAAACTGAACGAATACTCCGGGACGGAGGGAGTAGTTTTAAAAACAATTTAAACATTTAATTCAAAAATAATATTTAAAACATCTAACAGAGTTAACAAAATGGTGCTAAAGCTTAAAGTACTTAATTCAAACACAACTTTGGATTCCTTCCCAAAAACATAATAAATCCAAAATATAACATTAAATCAAATAACTCCTGAGCTAGCATCCATCCATCTCCTTGTATTCACTTCCCTCTAGGATGGTCTCCTTATTTGTTATTCTTGTTACCTACGTGTACCAAGTAAAACAAACTACATGCTCAGCCTTCACGCTGAGTGAGAGGTTCTAACAGTATAAGTCATACATAGGATCATTTCATTATACATATTCACTCATAATATTACATGAATAAGTAGTATCACATAACAACATCAAATAATATCAATAATAACCACACATTATGTGGACTTAACTTTGATGTTTGGTTGTATCAGTTATCAACTCAACATTCGTATCTTTATTAAGTTCATCTCTAACACTCGCTCATAACCTTTTATAGGCTAAGACTATTTATTAACAGACACAACATATAATTACAACACAACACGATTTTATCAACGAATGAATTCACTGCTAGGTGGGTGGTACTCATATCTCCTTTGGAATGACATTTTGTGGATCTCATACATACGTTTTAATATTGATATTCACACTTACAATCACACTAGAGCAGTCCTAGAGTTCCTCTAGGTAGTCTCTACATATTCAAATTTATTCCAACAATAATCTTAATTCATTATTTCCTTTCAAAACACATCAAGATTATATTTTGTTATATCAAGGAAGATAACAATACTCAAATAATCAATCATATAATACAATTAGCATTCTAGTGTTAGGTGTAACAACCTTCCACTTACCATCATACAACACATAAGGTCTCAGAATCAATCCATGTCTTGAAAGTGAACAAACAATTCAATAAACAAAAGGGAGTGAACATCGCATGGTACGGTACCGCCACGCGATACCTCAGTACCGTCCACAACACAATTCAGTTGTGAACTGTTCCGTGGTGGTAGTGGCCTACCGTTGGATGGTAGTACTGTAACACCCCGACCGCGTAACCCAAATACACGGACCAGCGGATCGAGTTGTCACAAGATTGGCATCGAAACATAATAATTTTCAAAGCAATTTAAAATATTTAATTCAAATTATTATTTATAATCCATTGGAGTATCGTAAAATGGTGCGGAATCTTAAGTACATAAATTAATATACAATTCTGGGTTCTTGCCCGAAAATATAATAAACTCAAATGATATATTTAATTAAGTAAACTCCTTCATTTGGCTTCCATCCATCTCTTCACCCTCGCTGTCCTCCAAGATTGTTTCCTTAATTATCATTCATATTACCTGCGTGTAGCAAGAGAACAAACGCCACACGCTCAGCATTACTGCTAAGTGAGAAATATCTAACGTTTGACTATGCATATAAATGAATTCACTAGGTCATTATTTCATACAATATCATGCACACAAGTACAACATCAATAATATCACTTAACAATCTTGCACTACGCCTAAAACAACATTAGACGACTGTTGATTAACTATTGTTTATGTAAACATTGTAGTTAAAAAAACAGACTACTGTGAGTTTTTCTTGGCTACAGTATTATGCTTTAAAACAACTTTTAAAGTTTCGAGAAACAATAATCTATCATTAGTTGTCTGTGTCAGTTCAAAATACAGTTTTTGTTACAACAGTTATCAATAACAAGTTAAGAATACTCTATTTAAACAGTAGTATGTGTTTTTAGTCTATAACTGTTTTTAAACTTATTAGAAGTAGTTATCTATTGCTAGTTGTCTATTTCATATAGTTTTTTTGCCACGGTTGTTTATAATAGGAATAAAAGACTCTATTGTAACATTAGCCTATGAATTAAAGGTAGAACTATTTTTAGAGTTGTGAGAAACGGAAATATATTACTACTCTCTCCGTCCCGTTTTAAATTGCCCGTTTTGACTTTTGGGCATATTTAAGGAAAAGAAAAAATAGAATTGATTTTTCGAAATTGCCATTATTTTTTAGAAGGGTTGACGATGAATAAGAAGATAAAGTGGTGAAAAATGACTAATTTTAGGGGTAGTTTAGGTATTTTACTCTTAAAAGTTTACGATACAAGGTGCTTGATCTCGCTAAGCATCGACAAGACTTAGAAAGATGACATTTGGTGCGATATCATTCCCATGGACGCATGCCACGTCCTTCTGGGACGTCCTTGGTTGTTCCACAACAAAGTGTAGCATGATGGCTACTTGAACACTTATTCATTCCTTATGAATAAGAAGAAAATTACCCTCACTCCCTTACCCCCACCTTCCTCACCCACGACCCAAACAAGCAACAACACCCCTCCATCCCTCATCTCCTCTATACTCCAATCCGAACACCATGAACTTGAAGGATTCAAGGACCTCATTCTCCTTTATCTTGAGATGGCCGAACCCACTTCCCCTCCCAGACAGCCTTATCCTCTAGCCATCCCCATCCCTGAACAATATGCCCACATTTTCCCCGAAGATGTACCACATGGCCTACCCCCAAAGAGAGATATCCAACACAAGATCGAACTCATTCCCGGGGTTGCCTTACTGAACAAACCAGCCTATAGGATGAACCCTGAAGAAACAAAGGAGATCCAACGTCAAGTGGATGAGTTACTAGCAAAGGGTTATGTTCATGAAAGTCTAAGTCCTTGTGCTATTCCGGCTTTATTGGTACCAAAGAAAAATGGTATGTGGATAATGTGTTGTGATAGCCGAGCCATTAACAAGATCACCATCAAATATAGGTATCCCATACCTAGGCTCGAGGATATGCTGGACAAACTTCACGGTTCGAAGGTTTTCTCAAAGATTGATGTTAGAAGCGGTTACCACCAAATCCGTATCTTCGAAGGTGATGAATGGAAGACCGCCTTCAAAACAAATTTTGGGCTCTACGAATGGTTGGTTATGCCATTCGGGCTGACCAACGCCCCGAGCACATTCATGCGGTTGATGAATCAAGTTTTGAAGCCATATATAGGTTACTTTGTCGTGGTCTATTTTGACGACATATTGATCTATAGCAAGAGTGAAAAAGAGCACGTAAACCACCTCACCCTGGTGGTTAAGAGATTGGATAGCTTTATGGGAATTTTGAGAAGAGCCAATTCTTCTCTCAAGAAACTGAATTCTTGGGATATTTTATTTCAAGTGAAGGCATCAAGGTGGACGAGAGGGAGATGCAAGCCATAAGGGGTTGGCCCATTCCCACAACAATGCAGCAAGTATGGAGTTTCCATGGCCTCGCATCGTTCTACCAAAGGTTCGTGAGATTAAGAGGAAAAATGGGAAGGTATTTTAATTGGAAGAAAAGAGTGAGATTAAGAGGAAAAATGGGAAGGTATGAAATGGGAGAAAATCAGGGATGGATAAACCAAGTTGTTATTTAAGAGATATTACACACTCTTATCCTAACTTGGGGTTTGAATCTAGAATTTAATTAAGATATGACACACTTAATCAAATATCTAGAACCTAAAACTCACACTTAAGATAACCACTCTT